GGAGAGTAGAGCCTCTGAGTCGAACACACCTTCAGGCTGGTGATCAGAAAACTCTAATTCTTCATTTTAGACAAAAACAAAAAGTGCTGTAGCTTTAAGACGAGTCACATCCTGACCCAGAGTAAGATGCTACAGGAGAACACATTTGGCTTTTAGGAACAAATTAACACCATTTGGAAACTTCCACTCAGTGTTTCCTGTAGCTCTGTTTTTCCCTTTTATGCAACTTCTTCTCCACTTTGTTTCAGAGGGATATCATTCATTTTACTCCATTACATTTCATCCACAGCTTTAGTTACTTTTCATATCATCATTAACACATGATAATGTTCATTATAACGCACCTCTAAAGATTAAACCAAGCTGTTGAGGTACCAAAAGGTCAAAATAGCCAAAATAATACAAAAAAGGTAAGAAAAAAAGACCTAAATATTAAAAATAATTTGAATGCATGATTTTAACTTCTATTTGAGTATTTGCCATTCATGCATTGGTGGTTTTACTGCAGTCAATGAATCTAAATACTTCCTTGAAAACATGGAAGAGGTTAAATTAAGAAAATGAGTCTGACTCATGATCACCAGCAGAGCCGTTTGCCGTCCATTAACTGTGAGCCAGATTGCATCCAGTCATTTGTGTGTGTGCGTGTGCGTGTGTGTGTGTGTGTGTGTGTGTGTGTGTGTGTGCGTGTGCGTGTGTGTGGGCTGACGGAGGTTTTTTAAGCAGGGGTGAGTCAGACAGGCCGCAGAATATAATCAGACCTGCGTGGTGTTGAGCTGAGTGACAGCCAGGTTATACACGTTATCACACACTGATCACTTCGATTGGAGCTCACTGCATAAAGGGAATAAAGGATCATTCTTATTATGTTAAAAACTCATCATCTGCTTTTTTTGGACGCCTACACACACCTTCCTATGGCCACTAATATCACTAGAGCACCAAATGCATATTAATCCGCCGATAAAAAAGAGTGCCCAACGGATGCTATATTCCTTTCTGTTTATTTAAATAAAAACTACAGTTATCAGCTGTTTTTAATTTTAAGCCTTTTCAAAGAACAAGTGGATATTAATCCTTCAATAAAAATAGTCCTCAGCAAAATCTCTATTTCATCCTGTTTATGTAAATAAAAACTACAGTGATCAGCTGCTTTTTATTTTGTTGTGGAGCCTTTTTAAAGAAAAAACATCTCCATTGGACTCCTTTGTTTCCGGGACATACTATAGTGACATCACTATGTAACTAGCGCTTCTATTGGCTAACAAATTGGACGTGAAGGGCCGTGACATCTCTAAGCGGTTGACCAATCACAACCAACCAATCAGAGCATACCTGGCTGTGGCGTCAGACTGGTTGCTGTCCGTGGTGCTGAAACGGTTTCAAAAGCTTTTCTGTATTTTTCTTTCTTTTAATCTAACTGTGTCTTAAACACAAACACTCTAAATTATATTATCCATGACATGTGCCCTGCCTGTGTTATTCATCCTGATATTAGCTGCAGGAAATAATGCTAACAAGCCGTATAAATAGACTGTTTCTGGAGCTTTTACCACAACAACATTAAAACCAAGTATAAAATAACTATATACCCATGTTTGTATTACAACCCGCTAGCAAACCTTAAAGTGATGCTAAAATGTTCCTAAGATTTAGTTTATTTACTGGCATTTAAAAATGTCCAAGTACATATATGATTGTATTTATTGAAGTGTCTCAGGGGGCTTAGGGGTCAGGGTGGGGCCCCTAAAGCTTTTGGCTAAGTCTGAGACAACATGTGCGATAGATGAGTATGAGGATGTTTTCTATCATTTTTCTTGTATCTAAAGTATTTTTGTGACGTTTATTACAGTCTGAATATTATAAATACCGAGTTTTATCAATTCTTATTTAATACTGATTATGCTGTGATATTTGTATTAAAACTATTCAAAAAAATAGGCCTTTTCATGTGGTCTCTCCCAGCTGCATCTCATGGATTATCTTTCTCTTTATGATCTTATATTGGCTCCTTGCAGACTCAGCATGTCCCTCTCTCTCTCCTGCTGTTTGCTTTCTTCTTCTTCTTGTTTTTGTTTGTTGCAGACTCAACAACATGATTCATCGGAGCAGACCCTCGGTCAGTGACGCACATGAGCTGTGCAGGAAATGCAACACATATAGCATCAAGTTGCCCACGTTACATCCATCTCAATATCTGTGTGCTGCTAGTGGTCATACATCGCAATTAACATCCCTCTCATAGAAATATGATATGTCTCTGTGTGATTAGCATCAGGACTCGAGTTTAGTAACAACATTATGGGTGGATCGAATAACTTGAAGCACATATTTTACACAAATCCTGCAGCTTATTTAAAGAAATGCAACACATATAGCATCAAGTTCCCCACGTTACATCCATCTCAATATCTATGTATGTGCTGCACATGGTCGCAATTAACATCCGTATTATTAAACATCATAGCCACAATGTCCATTAGCATCAGGACTCGAGTTTAGTAACAACATTATGGGTGGATCGAATAACTTAAAGCTTACATTTTCCACAAATTCCGCAGCTTATTGAAATAAATGCATCCATGATCTCACAGTTTTTACAACGTAATGATATAAATAAGATAAAAGCAGGAACATAACGTGCGTTAAGCTCGCTCCAAACTCGCGGATAACTACTTCCCATCGCAGGTGTCGTGATTTACGCGCCGCCCTGCAGCCTGCTCGCGGAGACTTCATTAAAATCAGACAGAAGAGAATTATTCTCCATCAGCCTGCGGATCTCTGGAGCCTCTTACCGTGTCTGGAGGCCGAGCAGAGCCGACAGGAGGCGGTGAGAAGCAGGCAGAGAGCCGCCAGGAGACGCGGAGACCTCATGGTACACCCAGCCTGCACGTTCACCAGCTCCCCATGTCTGATGGAGAGGGAGGGAGGGACGGAGGGTGTGTGCGTGCGTGTGAGAGAGAGAGAGACAGGAAGAGTGAGATGTGTTGTTAGGAAAAGGACCAGAGGAGGCGCCACACTGCAAGAAATACTGAAGGACTACAGCTATTGTGTATATGTGTGTGTGTGTGTGTGTGTGTGTGTGTGTGTGAGAGAGAGAGAGAGAGACATGAAGAGTGAGATGTGTTGTTAGGAAAAGGACCACAGGAGGCACCACATTCTCAGCTATGAAGGAAATAAAAGCTAATAAAATAATGAGAATGGTGGAAGACAGAACTCTATTTAACTTAAATGAATAATAGTAATACAATAATGTAGAAGTACTTAAGTGGAAGTGGTGCATGTCAAATCTTACCTTTAAGTAAAAGTGAAATATAGGCTACTTGATTGCATTTTGTCTCAATCAATGATTATTCTATGTCTTGTTCTTGTATTTTTTGCATGTGTAAATACTGTATATCTAAATGCATTTCACATTTCCTTTGTGCTGCAACTTCTCTCAACTTAAAACTGTATTTATAGATAGTACTTTAATGAGTTATGTTGCATTTCAGTTACAAAATGGCATTGTATCGATAATTTAATCACCTAATTAATTGTATGTAAGCTTTATATTAGTATGAATGTAGTTTCCTTTCATAGTTTCAAAAGAGTATTTAATAAAAGGGTTTTATCAACACCTGACAGAATATTTAGACTCGTTTGATTTGCAGAATTTGTATTTACTGCATTTTGCATTTCATCATTCACCGAGATGCTGGAATTGAAACCAGCTTCTCCTGCAGGATGAGACCTTCCACATTAACTAACATGTTTTAATCAACCCAAACAAAAAGGAGAGAAAACAGGGAAACCGTTCAATATTTTATTATTCTGAGAAACCATTTTTTAAAGAAAGGATTAGTCGTTTCCAACACGTCGAGATTCTGTGCGTCACATGTGGAAAATGGCATCCTTTGAGTCCGTCAGCGAGTGTTTCGTCACAGCTTTAGTCGAGGACCAGAGACTTCCTCACGGTGGGGAACAACTCGAAGAAGCCCTGCAGGAGGAAGCGCACAGGAAGAGTTCAAAAGAAGATCATAAAGATATGTTTCTATGAGAAAGCAAAGAAATGACATGAAATCAAAGCTTGAAAACAAAAAGGAATCTGACGTGTGTGCCGGGAAGGAGAAGATAAAAAAACATGAGGTTTCTGGATCGTCTGAAAACACAAGGTCCATGTTTCAGCTCCTTAACATCATACTCCTTACCTTCAAAACATGACGGTATAATAATAAGCTTTTTCCAGGACTTTTTGAGAAGCCTGCATTTAGTGCTTCCCTTGGTTAATGTGTGAGGAACATGCAAGAGGAAGTGAGCATACAGGCCCTCATTTGCTGATTATTTGCAATATGTATATATCTTTCAATGGTCTATATTAGGGCTGCACGATACATCGTGTCGTGACGATAATCGCGATATGCACATGTGCAATATTCACATCGTAGGACGTGCGATTTGAAAAAACTATATGCGATATTAAGCAGGCAAATTCATTCAAACACGTCATGTTACAATTCTTTTGCTGCTTGCTACAAAAGGAAAACTTGCGCGGCTCTCATGTCAGGGAGTGAGTGACATGCAGGCCCTGCATGCACAGCAAACCTCCAAAGCAAACAGACCCCGTGATCAAAGGTAAAAACACTGAATATAGTTTCATGTGTTTCTCCAGTTCGGCGCTGCTAACCGAGCTAGCTCAGCTTGTTGCTCTGATAACTTAAGATCCAGACGTCCGTGACTAAAATCCTTCATTCGGTTAAATATAGTTAAAAAAATACCAATTCTATAGCTTTAAAGATGAAGAGAGGATGGTTAGCGGACAAAAAAAACGGTCTTTTCTTCAATTCCTGTATGTTTTCATATCGCAATATATATATATATATATATATAAATATATATAATATATATATTATATATATNCTGTGTGCCTTGGGCAGAGAGCCTCAACGTCCACAGACGGACACATCTGAATGAAGGGTTCGAACTACAGAAAAACGGAATAAATAAATGTATGTTCTGACCTGCAGGGCGCAGTAGCAGCTGTGCAGGTTGTCCAGTCGAGCAGAATAAATGAACTCTTGGTAGATTCCTCCCAACGCCTGCAGAGAGGAGGAGACCAGGATGAGAGGCAGATATGTTTCTGTATCCCTCTTTTATTTGAACTTCTTAGGTTTATCTCAATATCCTTATTTTACCTGTTTCAGCGCATGTTCCTACTTCAACTTCTGAAGTAGGTTTGCACATACAGGGAATTATATTTGGGGTTTTGGTTCATACAGAAGCGTAGTAAGAGAAATACAAATGAAAGTTAAATACAAATATTGAAAAAAAAAGAACTTAATAAAACATTTAATAAAGGAAACGAGTCCAAAGAAAAACCCAAACCAAATGATGTGAAACATGCAGTATATATGATGAACAATGAAAAGCTTTGCAGTGGTGAAACAGAACGGTGCAGAGCAGTCCGGAGTGTCCCTGCTGCTTTAGAGGTGAAACCAGATAACGACAGGAGACAGGAAGTGGTTTATCTGCAGACTCACCGCGGGCTGCGTGTCGGCGAGACAGAGCTCAAAGTCCAGCAGAGCTTCAGGCTCCACGCCGAGCTCCGAGCACAGAAGCTTCACCAGCGCCGGGTGGTGCTTCTCCGCCTGGGGAGGGAAAACACAACACCAGATATCATGCAGCTCATTATTCGTGCAGTAATGTCTAGCTTCTGCAAGTAGCACGTGTGTGTTGTACCGTGTTAGCAGCTTCACCAGAGGAAGCACAGCCCGTCTCCAGCTCCTCCTGAACCACCGTGGCGATGATGGGCACCCTGAAGAAAAGAACACGTGATGAATGTCCGTCCTCTCCACACGTGTGCAAGTCTGTTAAAGTTCAGTGGTGGTCACTGACAGGTGGTTCTCCTTGTTGGGGCCGAAGGAGTCGTTGACGTCTCTCTGCAGGTGGATGGCCAGGTGAGGGATCCGGAGCAGAGGCCGAGACACGTGGAACAAACGCTGCACCAGACGCCCTTCATTCTGTGGGTGGATGGACACACACACACACACACACACACACACACACACACACACACACACACACACACACACACACACACACACACACACACACAGCCATTAGCCTCCTCTTGTTTCTGGTAAGCCTACATTACAGAAGTGATGAATTCAAATGTGCGTACCTTGATGATAACGCGTCCGGCGAGGGTCAGGTCGCGGTCGAACCAGGTGCTCCAGATGCCTCCGCCGTAACACTCCACCCCGACCTGCAGGCAGCCCTGCTTCGTCCGCTTAGACCTCGGCTTCACCTGGAACACAAAGGAAATACTTTGTTAATAGTCCACGCTCCTACAGTTAATTGCATATCTGATTCGACACCTTTTAAGAGTGTTTTTTGCTATTTTAAGAGAATTTTAAACACCATTTTAAAGCTTTTTTTTTTGTTGCATTTTATAAATTATTTCTAATAATCAAATTGATGATGGCAAATATATTGGATATTTGACTATATTCAGACTGTGGATGTACAGTAATAAAAGGTGATTTGATAAGGTTGTGATTGACAGGTGGATGTGGGCGGGCTCTCACTCTGAGGCAGGGGCTGTCAGTGTGCGCTCCGATCATCGAGAAGCCGTTCCCGGGCAGGAAGTGTCCGCCCACAGCGAAGGCGATGAGGCTCGAGTAGTTCCTGGTCACAAAGTACTGAAGACGGCAGAGAAGCAAATCATTCAGTGTCCAACATGTAGAAATCATATTTGTACACACAATACATGCTATTTATTAACCAAATACGTAGAGTAGTGGTGCTTTCACAACATATTTACATAATGATGCATGAAAGCAATCATAAAAGAAGTGGGTTTAATGACTAAAAGTCTATAAAGCTAGATCAGTGTTTGGTGATACACTGCAATATCACCATGTCTAAAATTAAAGAGGATATCCAGATCTCAGAACACTGACGTGATGTCCACATGTTGCACAGTCCTGGATCTGTGGACACTCAGACAACACATTCACATCAAAGCTGGCTGGTTCAAAGGTCACCTATTATTTAAAATCCACTTCTCCATGTCTCTTCTACATCAACATGTGTCCCCTCTTCTTCATGTCTCTTCTACATCAACATGTGTCCCCTCTTCTTCATGTCTCTTCTACATCAACATGTGTCCCCTCTTCTTCATGTCTCTTCTACATCAACATGTGTCCCCTCTTCTTCATGTCTCTTCTACATCAACATGTGTCCCCTCTTCGTCATGTCTCTTCTACATCAACATGTGTCCCCTCTGTGTAAAGAGACTCTGAAAGTTTCAGGAACAAAGATTCTGTCTCAGCTACCAGCTAACGTGTTTGTTATGGTCTGTGAGGCACCTTGCTGGAGGGCTTGATGTCCCACTGCTCCGCCTCCTTCAGCTCGATGAAGCCGGCCTGAAGCAGACGTCGTTTGCACTCCTCCACGACTACAGAGACAGAAATACTTAGAAGTGCTGACACAGGTATATTTGTTTCTGTATACGTCAGGGATATTTAATTAAGCTGCATCTACTTCCTCCAGTCTGGAACTAAGTGGCAAAAACTCTTGTTGCAATTTGACAACACAAGCTGTAAGATTGGCAGACTCTTGCTAGTCTGCTATTTTATTTCTGCTGAGATGTTTACATTTTGGATTGTTTATTTCTTGTCATTTTTTATGTACAATTCCATGTGTTTTTATGCTGCTGCAACACAAATATTTCCCAAATTGGGATCAATAAAGTACTTCTTATCTTATCTTAATACTATCATAGTCTCTCAAATCTAAATGTCAGTTTATAAAAAGGGTAACAGCTCAAACTGAAGGACTGTGAGAACATGTGAGGAACATCTCATGTTTCTGCATTATAGGAAAACATACTAACTAACATAAACACAGGGTACTTATCATCTGACTTACATGCACATTGAAGACACACACTGAGACACCAGAGGTCAAAGTGCAAAGGTGGGAGACATTGTGAAATATCTTTTTCCATCTGCACATCTTATCTTATCTCAAGCTCAAAGTCGTCTGTTAATTAAAAAGAACCCTGACTCGACTTAATGCTGACACTTGAATTAGATAAACTTTAAACTGTGCAGGATTAAAGCTTTGAGCAGTAACATGGAGCATAACATGAAATATAGTAGTAAACACTGCACATTAAGTACATGTTACTACATAAGGTGTTGAGTGGTTCATGTAGAAGTAGAGTATTGTCCCAGTGCTGTTCTAGTATGTTTACCAAGGATCCAAACACTTATTCTACCACAGTTAGTTTTAAAATGTGGAAAACTAAAATACTTTACCATGATATGGAGAGACTCCTTTGTTGACAAACTGCAGGAACTCTTTGGCTGCAGACTGCACGGCCTCTTTGGAGCTTTTCATGATGAAGGACTGAGGAAAGAAGGAGTCAAAATAATAAGTCACAAGTTCGTCAGAGGGAAGTGAGACAGCAAATCTAGCAGCTACAAGTTACAACTTCGGACACTTATCGCGAGATTTCAGCCTCTTTTTCTCTACTTTCCGATCGGCGAAGAACATGTAAAAACACGATAATAGCAACCAATATAAAAGTATTAAAATAACACGCTTGACTTTATGTTAATATTCACATTAAAGTGCAATAGCTTATGCTTGTCCGATAAAGGGCGCACCTGTGTTTGGCTAACCGTAGATAGCTAACCTGCACGGGATTTGTGTCTCTTCTTCTTCTGCGAGCTTCTCTGTTCAAAATCAAAGCAGCTCTCAGTGAAGGTCCAAACACCTCCGCCCGCCACTGAGACACAGTTTATGACACTTACCTGCATTAATTGCACCTTCAAACTGTGAACTTTGGCAGTTACGAGAAGCAGACACAGATTAGCAGGACAGCAGCAGAGAGAGAAGCTGTCACAGCGCCACAGCGATATCCAGCGGCCAGGAGGTGTAATTACAACCACTATATTATTTACCCACATATTGAGAATATTTATTTTTCACATATTAATAGTTAATATATAGGTAGGTAGGTAGGCTATGCTAAAGAGGTGCAGAGACTGAAAGTTTAGCACTGTTTTAACCTGACCCATTTTTTTTCTTGTGTGTGTACGATGTGTATGTATATAAATGGTATGATTAATTGCAAACACACCGTCATAATTACCTACTATATATATTTGTTTTAATACTTTATATTATCCTTCTTTTTATTTTAAAGTAATTTTAGTCACATATTGTCTCTTAAAATTATTATTTATTTATAAAATATATATTTTACCGTAAAAAAAAAACCTAACCTTGTGAGAAATCTTTAAGTTTTGTTTAACCTTTTATTTTTTAACTTTCTCTCTCTCTTTGACTCATGGCAGTTTTTATTTTATTCCATCACAGTATGACCGCAGGAACCAGCCTTATATAGTCCTGAACGTCGAGGGAGGGGAGAGGAAGAGAAGCGCCTGAAAACGATGAAGAGATGTTTATATCAGCTGTCTGCGAGAGGCGTCTTGAGGAAGCACAGGGACACACACACACACACACACACACACACACACACACACACACACACACACACACACACACACACACACACACACACACACACACACACACAGTAAGAATTGGGTTTTAAATTAAACATTGAGGAAATATGTGACACTGTTAGCCCTTCAAATGTATGTAATACACTTTGTCTGTTTTCCTTTTTATTATAACATACTTTGGTTGTATAAAGATCCAACCCACAGATTCTCTCATAAAGTTTGTTTTAGAGTTAAATAAGATAAACTATTATTTATCCTTAGGGAAATTCAAGTTTCAGAGCAGTGACAAGAGAGAAAGCGCGTTAAGTCCAGATAAAAGTGAAGATCATTGTTAAAATGATTAGTATATATGGTTCCTTTCCCCCTTTCAGTGTTGCAGATAGGAAGCTCCACATTTAAACCCACTCCACCGTCACACTAATGGTTGTCATTATAATAATGGCACCTATTGTTTGGGAATGTGTGCTTCCTCCCGCTCTGGGAACGCCTGCAGGGACACAGTCTCTCAGGATGGGATACTTTTCCTTTTTAAGGCAGGTTAGAGAAAGCATTAAAGACCTGCTCAGCCTCTCCATGTGAGGACGGATGCCGACTCTTCACCGACTCCACATCGTGATGTTGTGAGATCACAGGTCCTCTAAACTAAATTACTTGATAGGTCAATGACATCATCTTCCAAAAGCTACGTCTCATTCACTTCAATGACATGTACCAATGCAGAGGATCCCTGCGAAAAGAAAACACGGCGATGACAAGACGCTAACATTTATATATTGGTTCAAAGAATTGCACACTTTTTCCCAATTGATGTCTCCGTGCTTTAATGTTCAAAAAGCTCTTGTTTAGCTGGTTGGCTCAGTTATGATTGGTCAACCCCTTAGATATGTCCCGCCCCCTTAGCCTATCAGGTACAATGTGTTCGAGCACTAATAGGAGCAAGAGTGTTACATAGTGATGTCACTCTGGAGGGAACACAGGGATTTGAGCTTTTTTGACCAGTTACATAAACCTATACAACACTTTCATCTAGGAGACTCTCAGCGTCACAGCTAGCTGAAAGGATGCTCAGAGTGATTTGATACCAACGAGAACCACAGACAAGTGAGAGAAAGGAACATGAATTATTAATTAAAGGGTACAAGATGAGGAGAGAGGAATAAGTGGAGGAGGAGAGAAGGACAGAGGGAGTAGATGGAGGTGGTAGGAAAGGAGAAAAGGAAGGTGGTAGGAAAGGAGAAAAGGGAGGTGGTAGGAAAGGAGAAAAGGGAGGTGGTAGGAAAGGAGAAAAGGAAGGTGGTAGGAATGGAGAAAAGGAAAGTGGTAGGAGGAAGACAGAGGGAGTAGATGAAGGTGGTAGGAAAGGAGTAAAGGAAGGTGGTAGGAAAGTGGAAGGAAAGGAGTAAAGGAAGGTGGAAGGAGGAGAGAAGTAGAGAGGGAGTAGATGAAGGTGGTAGGAAAGGAAAAAAAGGAAGGTGGTAGGAAAGGAGGAAAGGAGAGAGAAATAAAGGGAGGGCAGTTCTCCGGGAGGAGGGAGGGGGTAACTACAAATGCTCTTGGAGCATCTGGATCTCCTCAGTGCTCCTTCTGCTGCAGCCCATCTTCCATCATGGCCTCCTTCAGCTCCTCCGCCCAAAATGCTTCCTCTTACCGACGCCACTTCGGACACGGAGCCTACGCCTCGCCATCGCTCAACCGCTCGCTGCTCGGCCACGGCTCCACAGGGGGCAACGTCTCCTCCAGGTGGGAACTAGTGGAGTACTTTTTACTGAAGTACATTTCAAAGTTCTTTACTTTTACTTGAGTAAAAAAGTTTAGTCAGTACTACACGAGTATGTGTACTTCTACTTGAGTAAAGGATGTGTGTACTTTTGACATCTCTGCCTCCAGGTAGGTAGATGCTTCGTTACTGTACTTAAGTACATGTTTCTGGTATCAGTACTTTGCTCCACTACTTATTCTTCTGACGAATTTGACTTCTTAATGTACATGTTGAACTCAAATACCTGTACTTTCTACTTCTTACATGTTGAACTCAAATACCTGTACTTTCTACTTCTCTCATTTTCCAAACAGGCTGGTTCCTTTAGTCTGAATGTGTGTTTGGTGGCGTGATCATTATTATTTAGAGTCGTTGCGTGCCTATTGATTTGAACACGATCCGTGTATCCATCATTTCCTGGTCTTCTCTAAAGAAGAGGGACCAATGGAAACGTTGTCATGTTGCCGTTGTTCAGCATGGAAACATTCATTAGCTAACAATGACATTATTGTTCTATTAATATAAAGGGAGGTCAGGTACTCTTTAAAACAGCTGCTAGTTATGGGTACTTTTTACTGAAGTACATTTCAAAGTTCTTTACTTTGACTTGAGTAAAGAAGTTTAGTCAGTACTTGAGTAGGCCAATCTGTTCTTCTTGAGTAAAGGATGTGTGTACTTGTACCATCTCTCAGGGTGTACGAGGTGACTCGCAGCAGCTCCACCCCGGCGTACCGTGTCTCCTCCGGTCTCTACGGAAAACCTCAAGCATCCTCTTCCTCCCGAGCCTCCGCCGGAAGATGCTACGCAGGAATGGGCGAGACGCTGGACTTCAGCCTGGCCGACGCCATCAACCAGGAGTTCATGACGACAAGAACCAACGAGAAGGTTATTAAATCACAAGATTCAAGGCTTTCATTGTCATGTGTACATAGCTACAGCGTAGGCATGGCTCCTCCAACAGTGCAACACAATAAAACAGACAAAATAGTGCAAGTAAATATAAGTAAATCCAATCCAATCCAATCCAAAGGTGGAGCTGCAGCACCTGAACGACCGCTTCGCCAGCTACATCGAGAAGGTTCGCTTCCTGGAGCAGCAGAACCAGGCTCTGGCGGTGGAGGTGGAGCGCGTTCGAGGCCGCGAGCCGACACGCATCGCCGACCTTTACGAGGAGGAGATGAGCGAACTGAGGAGGCAGGTGGAGATCCTGACCAATCAGAGGGCTCGGGTGGAGATAGAGCGAGACAACCTGGGGGACGACGTCGACAAGCTGAAGCTCAGGTGGGCGTGTGTGTCTCTTTAAGAAAAGTGTGTGTGTGTGTGTGTGTGTGTGTGTGTGTGTATCTCAGATTTGAGCTGTGTGTGTGTGTGTCTTTGTATGCATGTACAAGTAGTAATAAACAGCGTAGAAAAACTGTCTTTAATACAAAAGTCCTGCATTTATTTTTTACTAAATAATAATAAATGATAAATACCGTAATGGTAAATGGACTGTACTTATATAGCGCTTTATCCAGTCTTTAAGACCCCTCAAAGCGCTTTACATACTACATGTCATTCACCCATTCACACCCACTCATACAGAGCAGTGTACCTTACTCTAGGACCTAACATTCACACACATTCACACACCGTTGGCCATGCCATCGGGAGCAACTCAGGGTTAAGTATCTTGCCCAAGGATACATCGACATGTTGACTGCAGGGGCTGGGATCGAACCCACAACCTTCTGGTTGAAAGACGACCACACTCCCTCACAGCCACAGTCGCCCTAATATAGTATATAACTATATTGTTATGTTTAAAGTCTGCTGCTGGGTCTGTATCTAATCTGGAATTGTCTCTAGTTTGCTTATGCATACAAATGATGGATGACACACNCTCTGAACAACCAATCACCGTACTGACCGCTTCTAAACTCATGCACGAGAATCGACGTCATCCATAGCAACGGCGCGTCACTCTTAGTTCATTCTTAGTGATTTATCCTTAGTATGAGTAGGTCTCAGCGGCTTTGTGAATAACTTTTAAGAAAAAACTCCTACGTAAAATGTTTTAGCGCGAGTTAGGAGCACTCCTAGCGGTAAGATAAAATGCTTTGTGAATACGGCCCCAGCTCTGTAACATGAACTACATAGGATTCAGTGCACATCAATGTTCACTCATTGACTGCTTTCAATCTCCGAATTGGCCTACTTTTATATTGATCAGTGCTTAAACTGGGTCAGTGTACTTCATTCTGCCCTTAAAAGCTGTTTAATGCACAGCCACTGAAATCCCATCCTGAGCTGATGAAGAGGTTATCGCTCAGTTAGTGGCAGCTATGTTCAATAGTGTTTTTTAGCGCTCATTTCTGCAGAATAGCATTTATTTCCATCTTTCAAACTGGTGTAAACAAAGCGATGACCTGCTCGCACGTCATGGTGACAACCAGGCTGCACTTTGTGAAGTAAACACACCTACACACACGTGCAGCGACAGGTTCACATCGTCTCACGCTATACCCGCAGCGCCTCGGAAAAACATACATCACAGGCGAGTTAGGACACGTCAGGGTTTATAGTAATTATGTCTCGGTATTTCTTCTCCGAGTTATCTTTGACACATAGTTGAAATTCTTTGCAATATGAGAGGATTAAATACCTTTTCTCTTCCTTGTTTTCATATCTATAAAGTCACAACTCTAACACACAAGAAAACAAAGAGGAATGGCTCCAAAAAGTAGAGATTAACAACATTAATAAACATCTTATTGTTGTTTCACTTATTCCTGAGGACATCCAAGCTGCTCAAACCCACATGAGAAAGTCTGTAGCTAAACATGAATAAATGACAGACAAAAGGTGACAAGATTTGTGATTAGTTAAGATAGATAAATGCATATGTCTGATCACAGCTTAAAGATATGCAGTATGTGTGCATGTTGCACTCACAGGACAGGAGCCGTGATGTCCCGCCTGTCAGACGTTTCATTCAGACGGATAACCACTGGGCTTTCATTCAGCACCTCCATCTCCCTTTAGGAGTTTTGATGTCTGACTGTTTTGTTTGTGCCCTCCAGGTCGTCAGCGAGTCGACGCAGCACCAGCAGGACATCATGTAACCATCTGCAGAAACAAGAGAAGAAGAAACAACAACACGTCTGTCCTCCACCGAGTCAGACGGATGAACAAATAAAAAGTAAAAAGACTCATGACATTGTGGTTAATGCAATATGTAAGGTGCTAGAATCGTTCACTTCATCAAGGTTATTTTCATGTGTGGTCTATAGTCTGTGTTTCAATTAAACCCTAAAAGCCTATTTTCTTTTAAGAGTTGTATCTGAAGGAATAAGGTGGGTCATGACTTGAAATACAGTCAAATCGAGATAAAACTTTACTTGAAAAGGAGATTTTTTGCCGTGAATCAAACATTAAATATACAGCATTGTTGCATCTGAAATGCTGCCATAGTAAATACTGTTGCTGAATAATCTTCATGCAATTTAAGTTCAATGTCACAGAAAATGGATTAACCGTGCACATCTTCTACTTATGAATCTGATTAAGTGCAGAAAACGCATATTTATATTTTATATCTGGCTTTTCTTCTAGTTTCTTCCACACGGCAGCGTTTATCCTCAAGGTCAGAGTCACATAAGTCCGAGTGTTAAGGAGGATAAAGTGTATGTGTGTTTGTTGTTAAAGAGATGCAGAAAGGACAAAAGGGAGATGGAGGAGATGAAAGCAAGAGATAGGAGGTGGTGTGAGGAGGAGGAGGAGAAAACAGGAAGAGATTTGTTTAGGAGATAATCCCTTGTGACTTTCAAACACTATTTGCTAATAAAATTAAATGAAGTTAAAATGCGTTCATGTCCTTCAGTAAAAAGACGACACACACACTGATCGGTATCCAGGCCCATAGGAACACATGCTTTAATGTTCATCATGTTCAATGAAGGCATGGAGTCACTGGCCTACAGCGATGACATTGCACTCTCCTTTACAGAATAAATAAAATCAGCAAATAAATACATCCCACTGGAAAAAACATCTTAATAAGATTTCTGAGAAAGGAAATTGAAAGATAAAAATAAGAAAGTTAGTAAGTGCTGTGGTTTATGTACAAATGTCACATCGATGCACATCAAAGAGGGTGAGGGGACGCAGGTTGGGGGGGGGTGTTAGTCATGCACTTCCCACGGATGAATTAAAAACGTACCATAAGACACCCCCCCCCGGCAAGCGGCGGTCCCGCCCCGCCCCCATATTTGCTTTGCTCTTCCTTTAACGAGGTCAAGACGATTAAAGTATTCACATTTTCACAGGTGACAGAAATGTCCCAAATAAGGGGATCAGCCCCACGATGGAGGGAGACCCAGTACAAGCTGGTATGGCCACTTTATTCTCCTTTCTTCACACTGGCATCTCAGCCCGAGCTTCTTCTTAACATCAATAAATATGTAACCTGGTCATTCAGAGATTTCACTTTACACACATCTTTCCACAGGCTTCCTTTGCACGTTTTAAAACAGCTCGGATTGTGATTGCTTTGCAGCACAAAACAGGAACAAGTGCAACTGGAGCTAAAGTGATCTAATCATGGCAGTGTACATAATCTCTTGTTTGCAGGTTGTAAAATAACCAGTGAGATGAGGTGCCAGTGTAAATGTGGCTTGTCTTGCTCGTCAGCTAAAAGCAAATCCTCCTCGTTTATCCAAACATCTGTGAAGACAACAACTCTACATGTTTACCCTGCTTGTTGTAGCTCCGACACAAACCCCCCCCCCACACACACACACATCCTTCTGTGTTCACATTTCTTTCAAAACCAAGCCATTGATGGGAGATCCCCCCTGCTGTCGCTGAATGGTACAGTCCGCAGAGGGGCAAGGCACCCTTTTGAACAGAGAGCAGTTTTTGAAGAAGTGGATCGTCCAGCACCAAGGGCGACGGAGGTGCTCCCCCCATTTCAAGGACGATTTCATGTGGGAGGAAGAGGGCGAAGAAAGCAGGAATGATAGCTGATATTCATTGGACCTTTAAGACGCCTACAGGCGGAGGAACTGCACCATGGGTTGAAAATCGGCACCAACATCAGCACGGTGAAAGAGGGCGAGGTTTTATTTCGATTCCTCCAAAGATGTATTTGGACCTGAGGCAGGTTAGCAGTGAGACTGGTCCCTGATCTGCTTTAAGTTGAGACGGTGTTTAAAAACAAGCGATGGCCGGTACAGCTGGTGCTTCCACCTCCACCCTTCAGGTCGTAGCGGTGTGTTTGTGTTTCATGCTTTTGTGCATTTCAATCTCAGTGAAAGATGTCAACCTCTGCACCATGCGCACTGGGAGCGTTATAATGCAACATTTAATCAAAGTAAAACTGCTAAACATGTTTTGCATTTTGGGTTTGCATCCTCAGGGGGTGTGGCTGAGCTGTTTGCATTAAACCCAGTGGGGGTCTGCCCCCGATCGGACGTGATGACGCCCAGGTGGGGTCGTGAGTCTTTTATCTCCCTGGTGGAGGGGTGTGTTCAGGTCTCTTTGAGGTGATAGAGGGGGGTCTCTCAGATCCGTAGTGGGGGTCCTGGAGCTCCTGTGAGGGGCGTGGTGGAGCCGCGGTCGTACCCTATGTCCACCACCGTGTGGGGTCTCCCTGCCAGGCGACCCACCGGCTGCACCTGCACCTGCCGCTCCCGGAAACTCTGGATGTAGCTCTGAGAGGGCGGAGAAATATGCAAACATGTACTTTAAAATATGTGGCTTAAAGATCTCCTGTTATGCTATAGTTAGACATATATTATGGGTCTCAGATATACAGTATACAAATATATACAAATACATGTCTATGATGAGACCTTTCATTCATTTGATGCACAACTCAGGTTTCTTTTTGTCTTCTGCATAAATAGTTAAAATTAGGGCTGTCAAACGATTAAAAAATGTAATCAGATTAATCACAGCTTAAACATTAATTAATCAGATTAATCACCATTCGAACTATGTCCAAAATATGCCATTTCTTTATGTATATTGTTGTGGGAATGGAAAGATAAATGAAAGAAGGCGGATATATCCATTTAACATACAGTAGTATGTATGTTTATTATAACATTGTTCTGTGTGTCAAAATGAAAGACAGCCCTCACACCTATCACTCATCAAACCGTGGGGTCTTATTTCATTACGTGTTGATTTCTATCAACACATAATGTTGTATCGATGTATATAGAGATGTACTACAGCAAAAGTATTCTCCGTCGGGACTTCCTGCAACAACACCACGCCGTTATCTTGATTCTGATTGGCCAGAAGACATTATCAAAGATGTTCTATTGAGAAGACGATCACTACGTGACAAAAGTTTTCAAAACCGTTTCTAGTCTTCGGTATTTCCAAACAAGTGGCTACTGAAATCAATCTTACTAACTGCTGTCTGTGCAATT